TGACGTTAGGCCACCAAGTTTATTCAGTAGTGTTGTTTTAGTCTCAGGTACAATACTGTCAGCTTAGTAGGACTAGAAGACATTAGCCCCGCCCCTGAGCAGGGACACGTCCACAGTTAGGCACTTGGAAGGTTTCAGACGAGTGAGAATAAACTTTTATAGAACTTTACACACAAAATTTAAAAGACTCGAGGTGGAGGAACAACAGTGTGGCCACGGGGGGGGGGGGGGGGGGGGGGGGGTATCCTGGCAGGAATCTACTTCCTGTTAGTGAACAGCAGGGGAAGGCAGAACATGGGCCCAACTGGTTCTGGTTCTGGTCAAAGTGCTCTGTGTGTGTGTGCGTGTGCGTGTGCGTGTGTGTGTGTGTGTGTGTGTGTGTGTGTGTGTGTGTGGGTGTGTGGGTGTGGTTTTCCATCTCACACGGATGAAGCGGGAAAGACTCGCGTCTGATTTACAGTCCGAGGAAATGGAATAAGCCAAGTGAGAGCAGGAGGGTTTCCGTGAGACATTATCAGTGTTACCATGGAGACCGGCGCGTCCTCCCGCATCGTTGTGACACATTAACTTGTGCTAGGACCGGGAACTTTCAGTCTGAGGAATTCTAATCAAACGCTCCGGTTTAGTTGTCGGGAGAGCAGCTGCTAGACTCGAGGTTCGGTGTCGGACGGCAGCGACTCCATCAACACAACTCTGCTCACAAAGACAAAAGGTTGGAATTACAGCAATCTAGAACATTCCCTCTGAGCCGCGTCAGTCAAGTCAACACGTCATTCCGTGTGTCAGACCCAGAGTCCGACCGGCGCTCCATCCGGTTCCAGACGCTACGCATAAAACTCCTTGGTTGGAGCTTTCTGATAGGCTGCTCCGGAGGGTTTCCGCTCTCCCAGGTCGTAGCTGCCTTCGTCCTTCTTCCTCATTCGGTAGACCAGCAGGAGGATGAGGAAGATGGCGAACAGGAAGCCGATCACGCCGCCTGCAATAACAGCTGAGAGACAGAGACAGACAGTCACGGACGGTCCAACAAACACGTCACGTCCCCGTCCCACATCTCCACCCCCAGCTGGGACATGAGGAGGACTCTGTTGATCTGACAGGTGAAGGTGGCGACAGGTAAACTATGACATCAGACACGCCTACGCCCCACGTGGCCTCCATAAGCTTCTGTGCAGCTCCTTAATCTGTCCTCCGTACCGTAGTCTCCGACTGGCTACGGGCGGCCTCCCTTCCACAAGCCCCAGCTGTGCAGCTCCATCAGTAACGCAACGCTCCCAGAATGCGTGACAGCGATTCTCCTCATCCCTGTGAGTCGGACACGGATCAGGAGAACGAGCCTAATCCCAAACGTTCACCACACCAGAACCTCAAATGTCCCAGTCAGGGTTCTGGTCTACTCCAGCAGAAATACTTGTATAGCGCCACTCTACAACACTACAGCGTATCATTCATCCATTCACACACTGATGGTGATGAGCTACGATGTAGCCACAGCTGCCCTGGGGCGCACGGACAGAGAAAGAACCTCTGTCACGTTCCCATAGTAACGGTACACGTCAGGAATACCCTCAGCAACCCACAAAACCCAAAGTAGGATCCGGCTAACACCTGAACCCTCTGAGAGGAGAGAAGGATCCGGCTAACACCTGAACCCTCTGAGAGGAGAGGAGGGTCCGGCTAACACCTGAACCGTCAGAGAGGAGAGAAGGATCCGGCTAACACCTGAACCCTCTGAGAGGAGAGAAGGATCCGGCTAACACCTGAACCGTCAGAGAGGAGAGAAGGATATGGCTAACACCTGAACCCTCTGAGAGGAGAGAAGGATCCGGCTAACACCTGAACCCTCTGAGAGGAGAGAAGGATCCGGCTAACACCTGAACCGTCAGAGAGGAGAGAAGGATATGGCTAACACCTGAACCCTCTGAGAGGAGAGAAGGATCCGGCTAACACCTGAACCGTCAGAGAGGAGAGAAGGATACGGCTAACACCTGAACCCTCTGAGAGGAGAGGAGGGTCCGGCTAACACCTGAACCGTCAGAGAGGAGAGAAGGATCCGGCTAACACCTGAACCCTCTGAGAGGAGAGAAGGATCCGGCTAACACCTGAACCCTCTGAGAGGAGAGAAGGATCCGGCTAACACCTGAACCCTCTGAAAGGAGAGGAGGATCTGGCTAACACCTGAACCGTCAGAGAGGAGAGAAGGATACGGCTAACACCTGAACCCTCAGAGAGGAGAGGAGGATCTGGCTAACACCTGAACCCTCTGAAAGGAGAGAAGGATCCGGCTAACACCTGAACCGTCAGAGAGGAGAGGAGGATCCGGCTAACACCTGAACCCTCTGAGAGGAGAGGAGGATACGGCTAACACCTGAACCCTCTGAGAGGAGAGGAGGATACGGCTAACACCTGAACCGTCAGAGAGGAGAGAAGGATCCGGCTAACACCTGAACCCTCAGAGAGGAGAGGAGGATCTGGCTAACACCTGAACCCTCTGAGAGGAGAGGAGGATACGGCTAACACCTGAACCCTCAGAGAGGAGAGGAGGATCCGGCTAACACCTGAACCCTCTGAGAGGAGAGGAGGATCCGGCTAACACCTGAACCCTCAGAGAGGAGAGGAGGATCTGGCTAACACCTGAACCCTCAGAGAGGAGAGGAGGATCTGGCTAACACCTGAACCCTCTGAGAGGAGAGGAGGGTCCGGCTAACACCTGAACCCTCTGAGAGGAGAGAAGGATCCGGCTAACACCTGAACCGTCAGAGAGGAGAGAAGGATATGGCTAACACCTGAACCCTCTGAGAGGAGAGAAGGATCCGGCTAACACCTGAACCGTCAGAGAGGAGAGAAGGATACGGCTAACACCTGAACCCTCTGAGAGGAGAGGAGGGTCCGGCTAACACCTGAACCGTCAGAGAGGAGAGAAGGATCCGGCTAACACCTGAACCCTCTGAGAGGAGAGAAGGATCCGGCTAACACCTGAACCCTCTGAGAGGAGAGAAGGATCCGGCTAACACCTGAACCCTCTGAAAGGAGAGGAGGATCTGGCTAACACCTGAACCGTCAGAGAGGAGAGAAGGATCCGGCTAACACCTGAACCCTCAGAGAGGAGAGGAGGATCTGGCTAACACCTGAACCCTCTGAGAGGAGAGGAGGATCCGGCTAACACCTGAACCGTCAGAGAGGAGAGGAGGATCCGGCTAACACCTGAACCCTCTGAGAGGAGAGGAGGATCCGGCTAACACCTGAACCCTCTGAGAGGAGAGAAGGATCCGGCTAACACCTGAACCCTCTGAGAGGAGAGAAGGATCCGGCTAACACCTGAACCGTCAGAGAGGAGAGAAGGATCCGGCTAACACCTGAACCCTCTGAGAGGAGAGGAGGATCCGGCTAACACCTGAACCCTCTGAGAGGAGAGGAGGATCCGGCTAACACCTGAACCCTCTGAGAGGAGAGGAGGATCCGGCTAACACCTGAACCCTCTGAGAGGAGAGAAGGATCCGGCTAACACCTGAACCCTCTGAGAGGAGAGGAGGATCCGGCTAACACCTGAACCCTCTGAGAGGAGAGGAGGATCCGGCTAACACCTGAACCCTCTGAGAGGAGAGGAGGATCCGGCTAACACCTGAACCCTCTGAGAGGAGAGGAGGATCCGGCTAACACCTGAACCCTCTGAGAGGAGAGAAGGATCCGGCTAACACCTGAACCGTCAGAGAGGAGAGAAGGATCCGGCTAACACCTGAACCCTCTGAGAGGAGAGGAGGATCCGGCTAACACCTGAACCCTCTGAGAGGAGAGGAGGATCCGGCTAACACCTGAACCCTCTGAGAGGAGAGGAGGATCCGGCTAACACCAGAACCCTCTGAGAGGAGAGAAGGATCCGGCTAACACCTGAACCCTCTGAGAGGAGAGAAGGATCCGGCTAACACCTGAACCGTCAGAGAGGAGAGAAGGATCCGGCTAACACCTGAACCCTCTGAGAGGAGAGGAGGATCCGGCTAACACCTGAACCCTCTGAGAGGAGAGGAGGATCCGGCTAACACCTGAACCCTCTGAGAGGAGAGGAGGATCCGGCTAACACCTGAACCCTCTGAGAGGAGAGGAGGATCCGGCTAACACCTGAACCCTCTGAGAGGAGAGGAGGATCCGGCTAACACCTGAACCGTCAGAGAGGAGAGAAGGATCCGGCTAACACCTGAACCCTCTGAGAGGAGAGGAGGATACGGCTAACACCTGAACCGTCTGAGAGGAGAGGAGGATACGGCTAACACCTGAACCCTCAGAGAGGAGAGGAGGATCCGGCTAACACCTGAACCCTCTGAGAGGAGAGGAGGATACGGCTAACACCTGAACCCTCTGAGAGGAGAGAAGGATCCGGCTAACACCTGAACCGTCAGAGAGGAGAGAAGGATCCGGCTAACACCTGAACCCTCTGAGAGGAGAGGAGGATCCGGCTAACACCTGAACCCTCTGAGAGGAGAGGAGGATCCGGCTAACACCTGAACCCTCTGAGAGGAGAGAAGGATCCGGCTAACACCTGAACCCTCTGAGAGGAGAGAAGGATCCGGCTAACACCTGAACCCTCTGAGAGGAGAGAAGGATCCGGCTAACACCTGAACCCTCTGAGAGGAGAGAAGGATCCGGCTAACACCTGAATCCACAGATGAAGCAACACCAACCTGCTAACACCTCCGTCCTCTGGAACAGGTTCTCTGTTCGGACCTCAATGGGCTCCTGAGGAGAACCAGGTGTGTCGGTCGTACTGGTCAGTTGGTTCTTCTGCAGGTCTTGTGTGGCTGGAACTGGATCCTGGGGGGGGGGGAGGTTAGAAAGCATGAAAAGGAAACCTGTTCCTACTGATCCAGACTGAGATGATGTTGGAGTCTCTGCTAGATTTCTGATATCCTCACCACTTTCAGCCAATCACTGCTGACTAGATCCAGGGATCTGCCATAACATTAAAGACGCCTGAGGCTGGTTACCATGGCAACTGTCAGTGGGCAGGAACTTTCTAGCAGCAGGTTAGCATTCTGAATGACCGGAGAAGCTTCTGGACCTCCCAATGACCCGGTTCTGTGTGGGATCCATGTGACTCCAGCTGATTCTGCAGCGGACCTGAGTCTAGCAAGACGTTTCTGAGTTGTCATAGCAACCTGAAACGTTTACCACAAAGATCTAGATCCACAAAGGAGGTCTAAGTGTTACCTGAGAACTGAACCAGAACAGTTCAGTCACTGAAAAGCCGACGAGGAGGAAATAAGCTAATTATCGGATTGGTTTGTGTGTTAGCGGTGTGAAACATTCCTTCCCTGTGACACTGACCCACAGAAAAGGAACCCAGCCAGTTCCACCGAGGCCAGCATGAACAGAAATGGAACAGAGCCAGGCTTGCTTGGCTGAGGGTTTGGGACCCCGATGAGTAATCCTCCACAGATGTGGAGTCAGAGTGATGTGTGGGACGACGACTCGGAGAGATTTAATCCTGCTTCATCAGAAACAGGGCTGGGTGGGTTAGTTTGGGTTGGTTAACAGGTCTGGATGGGTTAGTTTGGGGTAGTTAACAGGTCTGGATGGGTTAGTTTGGGTTGGTTAACAGGTCTGGGTGGGTTAGTTTGGGGTAGTTAACAGGTCTGGGTGGGTTAGTTTGGGTTGGTTAAAAGAGCTGGATGGGTTAGTTTGGGGTAGTTAACAGGTCTGGGTGGGTTAGTTTGGGTTGGTTAAAAGAGCTGGATGGGTTAGTCTGGGGTAGTTAACAGGGCTGGATGGGTTAGTTTGGGTTGGTTAACAGGTCTGTATGGGTTAGTTTGGGGTAGTTAACAGGGCTGGGTGGGTTAGTTTGGGTTGGTTAACAGGTCTGGATGGGTTAGTTTGGGGTAGTTAACAGGTCTAGATGGGTTAGTTTGGGTTGGTTAAAAGGTCTGGATGGGTTAGTTTGGGGTAGTTAACAGGTCTGGATGGGTTAGTTTGGGGTAGTTAACAGGTCTGGATGGGTTAGTTTGGGGTAGTTAACAGGTCTAGATGGGTTAGTTTGGGTTGGTTAAAAGGTCTGGATGGGTTAGTTTGGGGTAGTTAACAGATCTGGATGGGTTAGTTTGGGGTAGTTAACAGGTCTGGATGGGTTAGTTTGGGTTGGTTAACAGGTCTGGATGGGTTAGTTTGGGTTGGTTAACAGGGCTGGGTGGGTTAGTTTGGGTTGGTTAACAGGTCTGGATGGGTTAGTTTGGGGTAGTTAACAGGTCTGGATGGGTTAGTTTGGGTTGGTTAACAGGTCTGGATGGGTTAGTTTGGGTTGGTTAACAGGGCTGGGTGGGTTAGTTTGGGTTGGTTAACAGGTCTGGGTGGGTTAGTTTGGGGTAGTTAACAGGGCTGGGTGGGTTAGTTTGGGTTGGTTAACAGGTCTGGATGGGTTATTTTGGGGTAGTTAACAGGGCTGGGTGGGTTAGTTTGGGTTGGTTAACAGGTCTGGATGGGTTAGTTTGGGGTAGTTAACAGATCTGGATGGGTTAGTTTGGGGTAGTTAACAGGTCTGGATGGGTTAGTTTGGGGTAGTTAACAGGTCTGGATGGATTAGTTTGGGGTAGTTAACAGATCTGGATGGGTTAGTTTGGGGTAGTTAACAGGTCTGGATGGGTTAGTTTGGGGTAGTTAACAGGGCTGGATGGGTTAGTTTGGGTTGGTTAACAGGGCTGGGTGGGTTAGTTTGGGTTGGTTAACAGGTCTGGATGGGTTAGTTTGGGGTAGTTAACAGGTCTGGATGGGTTAGTTTGGGGTAGTTAACAGGTCTGGATGGGTTAGTTTGGGGTAGTTAACAGGTCTGGATGGGTTAGTTTGGGGTAGTTAACAGATCTGGATGGGTTAGTTTGGGGTAGTTAACAGGTCTGGATGGGTTAGTTTGGGGTAGTTAACAGGTCTGGATGGGTTAGTTTGGGTTGGTTAACAGGTCTGGATGGGTTAGTTTGGGTTGGTTAACAGGGCTGGGTGGGTTAGTTTGGGTTGGTTAACAGGTCTGGATGGGTTAGTTTGGGGTAGTTAACAGGTCTGGATGGGTTAGTTTGGGTTGGTTAACAGGGCTACTGATGGAACTCTGAACCCTACATAAAGTTTGAGGTTTCAGTCCAAACCCGTGGCGGAGACCAGCAGCAGGTCGGTGTTGGCGTTAGACTCGCTCTACAACCGCAGCTCAGACACGCTCCGGACTCTGGTCTCTTCTTACCTCTGTCCTCAACGGTTTCCTGGGCGTGACGTCTCTGCTCCTTCCTCCCACTGTGGCTGTGACCATCCTCTGGGTGAAGTCTTTGGTCGAGTCCTGGGTGGGCCGAGCTGCTTTGAGCTCAATATCAATCTTACTGACGGTCACCACTTCCCCCACCACCTCCTCACCTGCACCTGTGGGAGCAGAGGAGTCGGTAATGAGGTCTCTGAGGAACCAGTCCTGCAGAGAAAACATCTGGTCATGGCTACAGACACCCACAGGGTTTATTTATCATCTACTCTAGAGGTTAGAGGTCTGATCTTCTCCTGCTTTGTTTATCTGAACCTCTCAGACGTTCTGACCGCCTAACGAGAGCTGAAGGTGCTGCAGACAAGAGCAGGAGAGCAGAAACACCTGCCTGCAGAATCGTGTCAGACTATCTGTAGCGGTGGAAAGAAAGGTGGGTTTACCTGAGCCAGAGCCTGAGCTGAAGTCATCATCATCTTCAGGGTAGAAACCTCCTGAGCCGACATCATCCAGGTACAAGTCGTCCACCTGGGAGGAAGTCCTGGCTGCTTCTGCTATCTGCAAACCAAGCAGAGAAAGTTACGCCTGGAATCTTCTCAAAGGAGCAAAACCATCTTTTATGAAGCGTCTCTCCAGAGAAAAGTCCCGAGGAGCTTCACAAAAACAAGAAAAAACATCTGAAGTATAAAAAATATTCTTAATAATTAAGAATTTATTGCAGTATAATGTGCTACACAGATACTGTTATACACCATCTAGACTGTTTAGAATGAAGCCAGTGGACGACGATTCATGTTGGAAATGCAAAACGAGTACTGGGACGTTCATGCATTGTATTTGGGAATGTGCTCCTATCAGATGTTTCCGGACTTGTCAACATCCTAAGTGACTGGTGTGGAACAGACATCCCTTTAACCCAGAACTGTGTTCATGGGGAGATGAATCTCAGTTGCCTAATGTAAACGAATGTAGTTTTTAATCATCTCAGTGGGGTTAGCACCAGCCTGTCGAGTCATTTTAAGTCACTGGAAAGCAGCAGAATCTCCAGAGGTTAAGGAACGGGTCTGTGCAATGGCCGAATCTGAGGGAACGTCTCACTGGGATGGACTCTGGAACTTTATAAAGACAGACAAAGGCCTTGGGTGAAACCAAGCCCGTTACATGACTGCTGATACTCCGACGCTACGCGTCTGATGGTGTGAGGAGATGTTCTGGTGCTATGATTGGGACCTGCATCCAGAATCAGCTGTTATATCGGCATGTTTAGCATCTATTGAGAATGTTATGTACCAGCCCCTAAAAGAAAGTTCAATAAAAACTTGAATTAAAAAAAAAATTTAAATGAAAAAAGACTAAAAAAAATTAATTTTTAAAAAAGTAAGGAAAATGAGAGAAATTCACAGGAAAGAGGGAAATAAGTGGATCCTGGGAAAGATGGAACCAGGAGAGGGAGGTGATGAAGGTCCCACCAACAGGTGAGTTTAAAGGAGACCACTGAGTCCACTGATCACAGGCTCAGGGAGAGAGAGTCCCAGAGTCTGGGGGTCACAGCAGCAGATGATCTGTCACCTTTGACCTTTAGAGCTCCAACAGAACTGGAATATTCTCCCGGTCTAGAGCTGGACTTCAGCAAAACACACACACACACACACATTCACGCACACACACACACACCTCAGCAGGAGGCAGAGGTGTGACAGCCGAGCCTCTCCAGACTCTTCCAGATCTCCATCCCTGTTCCAGCTCCGGTTGGAAGCAGCTTGTCCAGCAGCTGGAGATGAAAGTCTCACCAGAGTGAAACATCTGAGGGAAGGAGGAGCTTCGGCTGGACTCGTCACACACGTCCCACACGGCCGTGCGTCTCCATTCCTCTGAGCAGCGCCGGCTGCTCGGCTCAGTTGAGCTAATATTTGTTGTGCTAGCTGGAGAGCGATGAGTCAACAGCAGGAAGCCGGAGACCCGACCCAGCCGGGCCCAACACACAGAACCGTCTGTGATGGAGGCCAGGCGACAAATATCACAACCAGCTCCAGTTTCTGGTTCATCTTCAGAGTTTAGATGTGCGTGCGTGTGTGTGTGTGTGTGTGTGTGTGTGTGTGTGTGTGTGTGTGTGTGTGCGTGCGTGCGTGTGTGTGTGTGTGTGTAGGACTTTGGGCTGAATTCAGTCCCTATCCTAGTTCCCGGGTTCTGCTGGATCTTCTGGTTCTGATGGTGTGAGGAGATGTTCTGGTTCTGTTCAGCTTGTTTTATGCTTGTGGAGGTCCGGCTGAGGCTCCACATCCTCAGGCTGTTGTCTCCTTGTTTGAAAGTCTTCTTTAGGTTCTCTGTTGGATCCTGATGTTAATGTCTCTCGGCCCACCGGTCCTCTTTGTCCAGGATGTCCCAGTAGAGCCCAGATCCTGCCCAGAGTAGACGGCCTGAAGCTTCTGCTGCATCTGAAGCTCGGTGGAGTTCTTCTCCTTTAAGCCGATGAAGGCATCTGCAGCTCAGCCCGGCTGCATGAATCATGAAGGCTTTGGCCTCTGCTCTCAGTGGCTGCAGCTCGCCGGCTCTCAGCAGAACCCAGACGCAACATTAAATAAGAGATGATAACCTCCTTGGACCCATCTTTCAGGCTCCTCCTGCCTCTGCCGCACTGCAGGATTTATGTAATGGTTCTGGTTCTGCTCAGATATAATTGGACCTGAAGACAGAAGGTCTGAGCTCATGGGTAAGGAGAGAGCAGACGCCGACAGGAGAAGCTCCACCAGTCACGAGCTTCTGCTGCTGCCGGGCCTCAGGTGGAGCAGAAACATCTGCACAACGCAAAAGATCCCACAGAATCTGGATGTTTGTGGTTTCCATGGAGGTCAGGAGGAAGCTTGGGAGGTCATGTGACAAGCAGGGTGACCTGCTCAGGTGTAGCCCCGCCTCCTCCGGATTTAACCCCGCCTCTTTACTAATGATTGATGGATATAAACAGGTTATCATGACCTGTACTGGAAAAAGATGGTGTGTGTGTGTGTGTGGGGGGGGGGGGGGGGGGGTCACTGTGTGTGTGTGAGACTGACAAACACAAATACACTAAACGTGTTAATCCACGACAGAAAGTAGTCCCTCGCAGCGGAGCGCCCTCCTGGCTGAAGCAAACTGAGATCAGAACAAACGAGCCCAGCAGAACCATGCAGACGGACCTCAGAAGTCCAGAACAAGCTCCTCGTGGGTTCAAACAGAACCAGGAGTATCACCTGATCAAATAAAATAATCGTACCGCCTTCAGGTCCCAGAACGGGTCAGAACCAGCTGACTAGTCAGGAAGAAGTTCTGTGATTCAGAAACAGTTCCTGCTCTTGAAGCGGAGCTCTGACATTCCTTAAGAGGATTCAGGGTCAGCGGAGGTCACACGCGGGAGCAGAGAGGAGGCAGCTGGTGATCTCCAATCCCATTACACACCAATAATCCTGACTGGGTTAGTGTGTGCGTGCGTGCGTGTGTGTGTGTGCGTGTGTGTGTGTGCGTGTGTGTGTGTGTGCACACACTCGTCTAGACATCAACGTGAGGACATTGTGCAGGTCGTCACTTTGGTCCACAGAGCCGTACCGGTGAGTCTCCGAGGAGAGCTGAGACCGACGTTTTGGTTCGGGTTACACGGGTTAGGGGCGGGCACGACCCGGTCACCTCACAACGACTGCTAGACAAGAATGTGTGTGTGTGTGTTACTACATGGGCCACAGAGTTAAAAACTAAATTAAGGAATGAATAAAAACTCAGCCATTCCCAGCCATTCCCGGGTGTTCCCAGCCATTCTCAATCACTCCCAGGTGTTCCCAACCATTCCCATGTGTTCCCAGTCATTCCCATGTGTTCCCAGTCATTCCCAGGTGTTCCCAGCCATTCCCTGGTGTTCCCAGCCATTCCTGGATGTTCTCAATCATTCCCAGGTGTTCCCAGGCTCAAAAAATGGAGGAGGGTTGGAATTGTGACATTTAAAAATCAGGAATGAACAGAATAAAAGTTTTTTTCTCAACTCATCCGTCCATGCTACACACACATGATCATTTATGCTAATTAGAAGATGATGTCATTTAGTAACAGCCAATAGCTGCTTTCCGTACTGAGGAGGCAGACGCATCACCTTAATCCAGACTCCGTATCTAGGAATGACATTTAGATCATATTTATGAGCATGAATGTGACTGAGTGAAGATGAACGCATGAGTCAATCTCAGACGTGATCTCAGGTGGGTTTGGGCAGAGCAACAACTAAAACATGCTGGATAGCAGTCCACCCCGTTTCAGACTGACTGCTCTTCATCACCTCTACGAGAGGAAGAGCGTGGATCTACTTTAGGAACCCAGCACAGACAGGAAGTGATGACAGATGCACTTCCTGTTGGATCAGGTTCCAGATGAGCAGAGCGACCCACGCCAGAGCTTCTCCCTCAGAGTCACAGGAGAACCGACGATTTTCTCCTGTAAATAATTCAAGTCTTGCAGCAAAAATAGGCTCCGAGCTGCAGCTGCAGCGCGAGGCCCCGGCTTCAATCTCTAATGTGATTCATCACAAAGGGAAACGCTCCCAGCTGGAAACACGGAGCCGGAATCAGGTCCAAAGTGTCGCTAAACCTCTGTTGTCTCCCGCAGAGGCTGAGCCGAGCTGCCGCAGGCGCTCCTACCCGTCCTCCTGCTTGTGATTTCAGATTTTAGCTCCAGGTTTCACTTCTATCTGCCGCCTGGAAGACAAACATCTCAGACATCAGGAGATGACTTTCAGGATTTAGGAGCTCCGAGGAAACGATGAAGAACAGAAAGGTGGGAAGAAGTCGGAGATTAGAGTCCAGAAAACACCAAAGAGAAGTAAAATCCAATCAGCTGATTCATGTTTCATTACAGAACCCGGAGAGGTGACCTCACAGATGTTGGGAGCATCATACAAACAGCTGAGAGTCCAGGACACGTTCTGGAGAACATCATCAACGTGACCTGCTTAGAACTCAGAGTCCAGAGAAGCAGCTGGAGACTCGTTAGGTACTCTAGTCCAGGGGTGTTTCAGTTGTTTCCCTGCTCCAGCACACCCGATTCAGTGGTTGAGTCACCTGTTCAGCAGCTCTGCAGAAGCCTGTTGACTTAAATCAGGTGAGTTAGAGCAGTGAAATAACTGAAACATGCTAGAGAGATGCTCTTCACACCTTCACCTGACCTACATGGTGGCAATGCTCAGGTAGGTGAGACTGTAGAGCAGGCTCTGATCTGTCCTGAAGCCGGGCCTCTATCAGAACACTGCACCGGAACACCGAGCTGCACCGGAACACCGTGCTGCACCGGAACACGGAGCAGCACCGGAACACCGAGCTGCACCATGCACCGGAACACCGAGCTGCACCGGAACACGGAGCTGCACCGGAACACGGAGCAGCACCGGAACACAGAGCTGCACCGGAACACCGTGCTGCACCGGAACACGGAGCAGCACCGGAACACAGAGCTGCACCGGAACACCGGGCTGCACCGGAACACCGAGCTGCACCGGAACACGGAGCTGCACCGGAACACCGAGCTGCACCGGAACACCGTGCTGCACCGGAACACGGAGCAGCACCGGAACACAGAGCTGCACCGGAACACCGGGCTGCACCGGAACACCGAGCTGCACCGGAACACGGAGCTGCACCGGAACACCGAGCTGCACCGGAACACCGTGCTGCACCGGAACACGGAGCAGCACCGGAACACCGGGCTGCACCGGAACACCGGGCTGCACCGGAACACCGAGCTGCACCGGAACACCGAGCTGCACCGGAACACCGAGCTGCACCGGAACACCGAGCTGCACCGGAACACAGAGCAGCACCGGAACACAGAGCAGCACCGGAACACCGAGCAGCACCGGAACACCGAGCTGCACCAGAACACGGAGCTGCACCGGAACACCGAGCTGCACCAGAACACGGAGCTGCACCGGAACACCGAGCTGCACCGGAACACCGAGCTGCACCGGAACACCGAGCTGCACCGGAACACAGAGCAGCACCGGAACACCGAGCTGCACCGGAACACAGAGCAGCACCGGAACACCGAGCTGCACCAGAACACGGAGCTGCACCGGAACACCGAGATGCACCATGCACCGGAACACCGAGCTGCACCGGAACACGGACCTGCACCGGAACACCGAGCTGCACTGCAACACCGAGCTGCACCATGCACCGGAACACCGAGCTGCACCGGAACACGGAGCTGCACCGGAACACGGAGCAGCACCGGAACACAGAGCTGCACCGGAACACCGGGCTGCACCGGAACACGGAGCTGCACCGGAACACGGAGCAGCACCGGAACACAGAGCAGCACCGGAACACCGAGCTGCACCGGAACACCGAGATGCACCATGCACCGGAACACCGAGCTGTACCGGAACACGGACCTGCACCGGAACATCGAGCTGCACTGGAACACCGAGATGCACCATGCACCGGAACACCGAGCTGTACCGGAACACGGACCTGCACCGGAACACCGAGCTGCACCATGCACCGGAACACCGAGCTGCACCGGAACACGGACCTGCACCGGAACACCGAGCTGCACTGCAACACCGAGCTGCACCATGCACCGGAACACCGAGCTGCCCTGGAACACGGAGCTGCACCGGAACACGGAGCAGCACCGGAACACAGAGCTGCACCGGAACACCGGGCTGCACCGGAACACCGAGCTGCACCGGAACACGGAGCTGCACCGGAACACCGAGCTGCACCGGAACACCGAGCTGCACCGGAACACCGAGCTGCACCGGAACACGGAGCAGCACCGGAACACAGAGCAGCACCGGAACACCGAGCTGCACCAGAACACGGAGCTGCACCGGAACACCGAGATGCACCATGCACCGGAACACCGAGCTGCACCGGAACACCGAGATGCACCATGCACCGGAACACCGAGCTGCACCGGAACACCGAGCTGCACCGGAACACGGAGCAGCACCGGAACACAGAGCAGCACCGGAACACCGAGCTGCACCAGAACACGGAGCTGCACCGGAACACCGAGATGCACCATGCACCGGAACACCGAGCTGCACCGGAACACGGACCTGCACCGGAACACGGAGCTGCACCGGAATACCGAGCTGCACCGGAACACGGAGCAGAGTCTCACTGGTTTTCAGTGGGGGGTGGAGCCTAAAAGCCCAAACAGAAACCAGTTTGGGTCAGGATCACAGGAAAAACATCCAGCGGTACTGATCTCCGTCACCCTCCCAGAATAAATGATCCCCTCTAAAGACGGAGCTGTGACCTTTGACTTTTACCTCTGAGATTCTGTCACAGCTCCCGGAGTTTCCACGCTGTCACCTGTTTGGTGTCATAGACCTGTCAGAGACCAGAACCATGAATGTGTTCCATTAAATCAGTCAAATCCAGACGTTCTGATCCATTAATAACCAACCGGACCGGATTCAGCCAGCTGAGTTCTGCTGGATCATGAAACTCGACCCGAGCGTCTAACCGCTGTTAGCTCACTCGTTCCTGCACCGTGAGTCACCGTCTGGGTCTGGACCCGGCCCGCTTTCTGTGGTCAGAGTTCAGACAGCCGAGCCTGCGATGTCAGAAGCAGCGGCGGCGGCTGGTGGAAGCCAGCCCACTGTTGGTCTCGTTTGGCTTTGATGTGGACCAGGCTGAGAGCTGGTCTTCACCCAAACATCTCACACTTCCTCATGGCCCACCTGGGATGTGGAGGCGGTCCAGGTCTAGACAGGACGGGACAAACTCCACCTTCTGAATATTCATGAGCTGCTGATTACAGCCCTGACATCAGCAGACTCAGGAAATTCCATGTGGAATTACTTCTGCGGGTCAGGAGTTCGGCTCCGGAGAACGGATCTGAACACTCAGCTGTTTCCTCTCGTGATGATAACCCGGATCCATCCAATGGTCATGTGACCCTGAGGTCATGTGACTCTAACGAACCGAACTTGAACATGCCACAGACCGTTCACTGAACATCTACTCCAAGCTAACTGGTTTACACTGGTTTGAAATCAACTGGTTTCTGCTGCCGACCAGAACCAGAGAACCAGGAGGATCTGTAGGAACCAATCAGAGAGCAGCATTTAGTCCAGCTTCATAACTAAGGAACGTTTAGATCCAGGAACTCTACTTCCCCTCTGGGATTAATAACGTATCTTTGAATTTTAATGTATTCTGTTAAAAATCACAGAACCGGGATCAGCGGGTCAGAACCAGAACCAGCGGGTCAGAACCAGAACCAGGATCGCTGCATCCGTTCTGGTGAACTGTCGGGTGTAAAGTATTCCTCCAGTGAGACGGAGATCAGCTGATGGGAAAACCAAACAGCTGCTTCCAGATGTTGACACGAACAAACAGGAGCCTTCGTCTCCGATCCGATGGAAAATAAAAGCTTCTTCCTCACAAACAAATGTAAACAAATGAGCAGGTCACCACAGCTGCTCCTCCTCCTCCTCCTGAAACAGGAGCAGTAAAACCAGGAGAACCTAACGAGTTTCTACTGCAGCAGTTCTCACAACATAATCAGAAGAAAGCATTAAACCGACCCGACACCAGAACCCAAACACACAGACCTGAAACACGCGAATAATCCCAACAAACAACAACAACAACAACCTGTTTGTGAGTCTGAGCGAGTCAGCAAAGGTTCCTGCCAAAATAAAAGCCTCCCAATCAGCATGACAGAAGGGAGGTGGGGGGATGGTGTGTGTGTGTGTGTGTGTGTGTGTGTGTGTGTGTGTGTGTGAAAAAGACCTACAGATTCAGATGGAGACCCAAATGGCTTCCAGATGTTCCATCTGAGCTGGGTTCTGGTTCTGGACCTAAAACCTAGAACTTGATCAGGTGTTGATTATTTATTTCACTTCCTGTTTGTGGTTGGGTGTAAATATCCCTTGTTTCAGATTGAGCGGTACCAGCGAATCGGACCTCATCATTGCCTCCCACCGTGCTCAGAGTCCAGTATCAGCCAAGGCAGACCAGAACCAGAACCAGAACACCTCTGAACCACTTCCATTACTGCCAGTTGGTTCTTCGCTGTAGAATAACCAAACAACCAGTCCGTGTGGGTTCAGGGCAGAACCGTACCATCTGGGTTGAGACAGAACCATCAGCCTGAAGTATAAACCCGGGGTCAAAGTTCACCCTGAGAGCTCCAGAGGGGACGCACCGCACCCAGATGATGTCACGAATTAGAACCATAGAGTCCGATGTGTTCCTCACTATTTAGAACACACACGCGCGCGCACACACACACACGTTCTGTGGAGGTGACTTCACATTCAACAGTGACATTAAAACATGGAATTAGATCTGAGGAAGAGGAGGCTCTGAGCAACAAGTCAGAGCATCAGTGATGAAGAGTAACACACACACACACACACACACACACACACACGCACACACACACAAGCTCTGTAACACAGCGCGTGCACTGCACACTGTTGTCACATTCTACCCACAGCAACTTAGACCCCCCCATACCCCCCCCCCCCCCCCCCGTGTGAAGCCTGCCGAACCCCCAGTGGCTCCGCGGACCCGCAGGAACTTTTTACCGGGCCGCGGCTCCGGACTCACCGAGCCTCCGCAGAAGAAGCCGCTCAGCGCGACGCTCAGAAGGATCCAGCCGCTCCTCATCGTCGCTGCTCGGTTGAGGTTCGGGTCCGGTATTCCTGCAGCTCCCGGAGCTCCCGTTCCTCAGGGTCCACCGGATTCTGGACTCCTCCTCCTCCTCGCAGCTTTTCAGCTCGGAGAATCTGACTGAGACAAATGAGCGCGTGAGTGTGCAGATCCTCCGCAGCACAAATCTGCACGAGACACGTCGCTCGCTCCTTGTGCGCACGCACTGAGCACGAGCACAACCGTGCGCGCTCATGTGAGTTACAATCAGACGTAGGGGGAGTAGCGAGCACGAGCCAACAACAAGTAAACAAACAAAGTAAATGCAGAAGAAAGAAACATAAATAACCTGCTCCAATCAGCTGATCAGGGACAAGCTCCGCCTCATTAAACAACCGGCGGAAGAAGCGGCGCGCTGAGTGGGTGGAGCTTGTAATCCAACACCTCCTCTCAGGAGATAAACTCCTCCTCCGTGTGTATCTCCGCTTCCAGCCGGATCGCATCGCGGCTGAGCGAATAGGAGCGGACCCTGGTTGTGAGGCTGCCGTCGCACCATCACGGACAAAGTCTCCCCCTGCCGGTGAAAACCCGGAACTTCAGCAGAACCGGGTCAGCTGTAGGAGAACCTAAAACAGGTTTTCATAAGGAGCAACCCACCCTGGACCTTCACCAGTCTGCCTGCAGAACCAGCAGAGGATGCCATGTCCCCCCCCCCCCCCCCCCCCCCACACACACACACACACCGGTCTGCTACATCTGGAACAGCAGGAACACACACATGCTGATGGTGGACTAACTGTTCTGTTCCTCAGCCTCCTCCACAGAGGCAGAGAAGCTAAGATGACCGAAGACCACCTTACTACAGATCTGCTGCTCGCGCCGCAGTGTGTGTGTGTGTGTGTGTGTGTGTGGTACAGCAACTGTACTCCCTAAGAGAAAAAAGCTCTTCACAGGGTCATCAGGGCTGGACCCTCCTCACCCTGAAAGACACCAACATCTCCTGTTGCTGCTGGAGAGCTACGAACATCTCACAGGACCATCACACCCAGGGCAGTGCCTCTTCCAGCTTCTGCCACCAGGGCACAGATCCATCATGGTTACCCAGGAGCAACCACGGCTCGGAACCGCAGGAACCATCCTCCTGATGGACACAGAGGAGGAACCTGCAGAGAGTCCTTACACACCTGTCTACTCTGGACCATATTCCTCTGATCCTGCCTCCAGCAGGTTAAGGTGTGACTTTCTATCCTGTGGAGCCAGAGAGTTTCCATGGTAACCACATTCAAACACATTCCTCTAAAGTGGTAAACTTTGTTATCATTGATCTCCAGTTTCGGGTACATCCTCCTGACTGAGTAGATCCTAAATAACTCCACTTGTGGAGCAGCTGATGTGTTCAGCATCCGTTACCATGGAAACCTGACTTTAGCTTCCACATATCCCGTGGGAGGAGACCTGAACTTGTTTAGGAAGCTCAGCTGGACAGGCAGTGGCTCTCATCAGGAGACGGAAAACCGAGTTCAAACCTTAAGAGAAAAAAACATCCGATGATGGAAAATACCTAAAATCTCATTTGGCCTCAGGGCCTCCGTGCTCCGAGATTTCCTTAAAGACACACCTGGTAGAATAAAGAATGACTCCTCGTGCATCCCAGCAGGACAAACCGGTCCGTTGGACAGAACCAGAACCTAAAGAAGCAGAATCCTGGACTCCCCCTGCTCCCAGAGCTTCACTCTGCTCCTGGATTAGCTAAAAGCTGCCACGCCCCTTTGTGTGTGTGTGTGTGTGTGTGTGTGTGTGTGTGTGTGTGTGTGTGTGTGTGTGTGACGTCCTGCTGATGATGCTGCCGAGCTCCGTTTTCACACGCTCAAGCAGACCGGACTTTGGACTTTGGGCCGGACTTTGGGCCGGACTTTGTACCTGACTTTGGACCGGATTGTAGGCCAGAGTTCGGACCGGACTTTGGACCAGATTTTGGGCCGGGTTGTGGGCCAGAGTTCGGACCGGACTTTGGGCCAGACTTTGGACCGGGTTGTGGGCCAGAGTTCGGACCGGACTTTGGGCCAGACTTTGGACGGGACCAGACTTTGGACTGGACTTTGTACTGGCATTTGGAAGGGACTTTGCACGAGTTGGACCGGACTTCAGACTTTGTACCAGACTTTGGACGGGACTTTGTACCAGACTGTGGACCGGATTTAGAACTTTGGACCGGATTTTGGGCCAGACTTTGGACCATACTTTGGACCGGACATCGGGCCAGACTTTGTACCTGACTTTGGACCGGATTGTGGGCCAGAGTTTGGACCGGACTTTGGGCCAGACTTTGTACCTGACTTTGAACTAGACTTTGGACGGGACCAGACTTTGGACGGGACTTTGTACCAGCATTTGGAACGGATTTTGGGCCAGACTTTGTACCAGACTTTGGACCGGACTTCGGACTTTGGACCGGACTTCGGACTTTGGACCGGATTTTTGGCCAGAGTTTGGATCGGATTTCATGCCAGACTTAGTACCTGACTTTGGACCAGCATTTGGAACGGATTTTGGGCCAGAGTTTGGGCCGGACCTTGGACCGGACGACACCAACAGTTTGTTCCTGTTTGAATCATTTATTGTTGAAGTTCGACACAAACCTGATTTCTTTGTCAGAACAACAAAAAGCTCGTTAAGCTCGTTAACATCGGTGAAGTCATTACATTAAATGAGAGGACTTTCTGTTGTGGTTGTTGATGAAACTCTGGAGGTTCTGGTTCTTCCCGACGTCATCTGGGTTGTGTTTGTGCTCCGGCGTCCTTCAGGGTGATCAGGTGGACGTTTTCGGTTAAAGAGTCCAGACCCCAAGCCCGAGTTCTGTCTGTGAGCGCGTCCACCGACTGCAGATGCTTCACGTCGCAGCAGCTTCCTAAAGCAGCAACAAGCATCACTTGTTCATATTCATCCATTCATCCAGCAGCACTAACTACCCGGTCCTGCTGAAGCCCGTTAAGGCCAGCAGGATCCGACCGTGTTCTGCTGTCTTTGGTGACAGGAGAACAGAACCATCAGAACCCTGGGAGATACTGACCGAACAGACTTTGGACCTGAGCATCAGGGACCAGAAACGGAGGACCTGAGGACAAAAGAGCATCGTGACGAACATCAGAGTCAGACCTGCAGCTGAGCTGTAGTTAGAGCAGAGCCGAGGCGGACCTCCGTATTTCTCCGGGTCATACAGGAGCGTGTCCAGAAGGTACCGGCAGTCCACGGCCATCAGGGACACGATGAGACCCGCGTACCTGCAGAATCCAGGAGTTAGACTCCACCAAACCCTCAGAGAGGACATCTGGATGTCTCCTCACCTCTCCCTGTCCTTCGGGTTGATGGCCACCAGAGAGCCTCGGTCCCAGATGGCTCCAAACTGACCTGCAACGGAGCTGAGACCCAGAAGAACCCTATCAGAACCGGTAAAAGGGTATAGATCGTTACAGCAGGACGTTCCTCACCTGGAGACGCTAAACAGGTCACAGCGATACAAGAAGATGTTCTTCTCAGAGTTCTGTTAGAAAGAAAACCACCGTCATGTCGACCCAATCAGCACTCAGAGGAACCACACCGGGCTCCAGAACCACCAACAGAACCTCACTGGGCTCCAGAACCACCCTCATGCTCCAGAACCACCAACAGAACCTCACTGGGCTCCAGAACCACCCTCATGCTCCAGAACCACCAACAGAACCTCACTGGGCTCCAGAACCACCCTCATGCTCCAGAACCACCAACAGAACCTCACTGGGCTCCAGAACCACCAACAGAACCTCACTGGGCTCCAGAACCACCAACAGAACCTCACTGGGCTCCAGAACCACCAATGATCAGAAAGCAGCTAGCCTGATGAGACGTAACAGCTGATCTCTGATCTGTGGTTCTATGATTTAATCACACGAACCAATCAGATAACTGACTCCGAACCAGACAGCCCAGTAAAAGGGGCGGAGCCTATGCTGACTCACCTTGAACAGTCGGGCTCCAGGTATGGAAGGAACCGGCTCCTCGGTGTACGACAGGTTGTTCTCCTCAAAGAACTCACGGATCCCTTTTTCACTGAACTCCACCCCGACCACCAAGTGACCCAGATCAGCCAACCTGAGACGGGAAAGTCATGTGACACACACACACACACACACACACACACACACACACACACACACACACACACACACACATACACACACACACACACACACACACACACACACACACACACACACACATAAGCACACACACACACACACACACACACACACACACACACACACACACACACACATAAGCACACACACACACACACACACACACACACACACACACACACACACACACACACACACACACACACACACACACACACACACACACACACACACACACACACACACACACACACACACACACACATAAACATACACACATACACACATAAACATACACACACACACACATACATAAACATACACACACACACACATACACACATAAACATACACACACACACATACAGAAACATACACACACACACACATACAGAAACACACACACACACACACACATACAGAAACATACACACACACACACATACAGAAACACACACACACACATACACACATAAACGCACACACACACACATACAGAAACATACACACACACACATACAGAAACATACACACACACACATACAGAAACATACACACACATACAGAAACATACACACACACACACATACAGAAACATACACACACACACACACATACAGAAACATACACACACACACATACAGAAACATACACACACACACAAACAGAAACATACACACACACACATACAGAAACATACACACACACACACACACACACACACACACATACATAAACATACACACACACATACAGAAACATACACACACACACATACAGAAACATACACACACACACATACAGAAACATACACACACACACATACATACATAAACATACACACACACATACAGAAACATACACACACACACATACATACATAAACATACACACACACATACAGAAACATACACACACACACATACAGAAACATACACACACACACATACAGAAACATACACACACACACACATACATAAACATACACACACACATACAGAAACATACACACACACACATACAGAAACATACACACACACACATACAGAAACATACACACACACATACAGAAACATACACACACACACATACAGAAACATACACACACACACATACAGAAACATACACACACACACATACAGAAACATACACACACACACATACAGAAACATACACACACACACATACAGAAACATACACACACACACATACAGAAACATACACACACACACATACAGAAACATACACACACACATACAGAAACATACACACACACATACAGAAACATACACACACACACATACAGAAAAATACACACACACACATACAGAAAAATACACACACACACATAAAGAAACATACACACACACATACAGAAACATACACACACACATATACAGAAACATACACACACACACATACAGAAACATACACACACACATACAGAAACATACACACACACATATACAGAAACATACACACACAC